AGAGGGAGAGGGTGGCCAAGACAGTTGAGAGTACCTGCAAAACAGTGATTTCATGAGTTGTGGGCATTGAACTGGGGAAGGAAGGGAGTTAGGCTCCAGGAGGTGAGGGGCAGTGAGATGACCATATAGGCCTTGGTCTGGAGATCCCAGCAGAAGCAGGACGCAAAGGGGTGAGCAGGAAAGATACACCACAGTGGTTAGAAAGTGGAGTGTCTTAAATGTGACTTGTGGAACAAATACAGTTATTGGCATGTCATCATGGGGCTATAATTCTCATTCCTGACTGTATATTAGAATGGGAGGGGTAGGCTGGACACGGTGACTCACACCTATGATCCCAGCACTTTGGAAAGCTGAGGTGAGAGGATTGCCTAAGCCCAAGGATTTGAGACCAGTCTGGGCAACTTGGGGAGACCGCATCTCTACAATAAATCAAAAAATTAGTGGGGTGTGGTGGCGCACGCCTGTAGTTCCAGCTACTTGGAAGGCTGAGGCAGAAGGATCACCTGAGCCCAGCAGGTCGAGGCTACAGTGGCCATGAGCATGCCACTCACTCCAGCTTGGGCAACAGAGTGAGACTCCGACTCAAAAAAAAAAAAAGAATGAGAGGGATGCTTTAAAAGTATGAGGCTTGGGCCTGGAATGGGGACCAGACTTTAGTGTATATATATATATATATATATATTATTTTTTTTTTTTTAAACTTCCTGGTGATTCTAATATGCAGGCAGAGTTGAAAACTATGGGCCATCCAGGATCAGGTGGCTGAGGTGGGGTGGAGAATAAGGTATTTGGAGGAGAGGTGAAGAGATCAAAGAACAGAGAGGTCAGGGTGTTGGAAGGGTCAATTTTGGTTCACACGAATTATGCTGGGAGTGATATTTGAACGTGATATAATACAATCTCCAAGGAATGAGGGGATGACCCAGGGCCCCTGGTGACTGTAATGGGGTGGCAGCAGTGATATCATCTGATGGTCTGAGCCTCGAGAGACCTTCGTGTTTTTAAGGAGGGAAGGAAGGACAGTGGTCTGCAAATGGCAGTGAAGCACAGCGAAGACGCTGCTCATCTCCCACACAGGATTGTCAGGTCTCTAGGACAGGCCTACAAGGGAAACAGGGATTGAAGTGAGCTAGATCTCAGTTAAAGCATCCACCCTAATCCACTGAAGACTCTCAAAACTGTATTTTTGAGAGTCTTTCCCAAAGCTCCAGATATATCTGTCTAACCGGATATTCCCACTTGGATGCTCTGCATAAGCCTTGGGTACAGTAAAATCTGAACTGAACTCCTCTTTCCTCCCATACCTGCCTTTCTGCCTGGTTCCCTGCCTCAGCTGATTTCACCATCATCCACTGGGTCAACTAATCCAGAACCTGTGTCATTTAGAATGTGTTCTGCTGAGCGTGGTGGCTCAAGCCTGTAATCCCAGCACTTTGGGAGGCCAAGGTGAGAGGATTGCCTGAGCCCAGGGGTTCGAGACCCGCCTGGGCAACTTAGTGAGACCTCATCTCTACAATAAATCAAGAAAAATTAGCCAGGCGTGGTGGTGCAAGCCTGTAATTCCAGCTACTTGGAAGGCTGAGGCGGAAGGATAGCCTGAACCCAGCAGGTTGAGGCTGCGGTGGCTGTGAGCATGCCACTGCTCTCCAGCCTGGGTGAGAGAGTGAGACTCCAATGCAAAACATGAAAATAGAATATGTTCTTTCCCACTTCCCTCTCTGGCAGTCATCAAGCACTGTGAATCTTACTCCTTCTGAGTGTGTCTCCTTTCCACCTCCAGGACTGCTGCTTTAGCTCCCCGCTTCTCTCATCTAGACTGGTGATCCCCGCCCATCTAGACTTGCTGCCATTAGTCTTACCTCTCTTAAGACTTTTCTCTGAATTGCCTCCAGAGGGATCTTTTAAAAGTCACACCTGGTTATCAAAATCTGACCATGTATCCTTCTTGCTTAAAATCCCCGCTGCTGGCCGGGCTCAGTGGCTCAGCCTGTAATCCCAGCACTTTGGGAGGCCGAGGTGAGTGGATTGCCTGAGCCCGCGGGTTCGAGACCCGCCTGGGCAACTTGGCGAGACCTCATCTCTAAATAAATCAAAAAAATTAGCCGGGTGTGGTAGTGCGCGCCTGTAGTTCCAGCTACTCGGAAGGCCGAGCCGGAAGGATCGCTGGAGCCCAGCAGCTCGAAGCTGCGGTGGCCGGGAGCGGCCACTGCACTCCAGTCTGGGCGACAGAGGGAGACTTCAACTCAAAAAAAAAAAAAAAAAATCCCAGCTGCTTACAGAATAAGGTCCAAGTTCATTAACGTGTCAGCTCCACAAGGTCTGTTCTGTTCACTGGGGTATCCCCAGGACCTAGAGCAGAGCCCCACACACAATCAGTGCTCAGTATAAATTCACTGAATAAATGAGTGAGCGTCACCATCACAATCTGGTTCTTACCCCTTCCTTGACTTCATTCCTAACTCCCAACCCATCCTCCATATTCTCATTTACCTCTATGCCTAAGCATGTGTTATTCCTCTGCCTAACAGTCCTCTCTCTGTCTTGAATTCCTGGCGAGCTTCTATTCATCTTTTAAAATCTTGCTCAAAGTTAACCTCTTCTGTGAAACTTCTTCTGAACTCCTGGAAAGAATCATTATTTTATTACCTATATCTTCATCTTTGAACTTTGCATGTGTTACACCACACTGTGTGAATACGTTTACATGTATTTCTCTCCTGCTAGACTTAGTTTCTTGAGGGAGGAAACGGATGTCTTGGTAAAGATGGACCCTAACACAGTGCCTGGCATGCAGTAGGCATTCAAGTGACCTGTTGTGTTGGGGCAGTGAGATAATTAAAGAGGAAGGAAAGTGTTGAGATAATTCATACTTTTCTGATGGAGAAATAGTTAACAGTTGTCCCCAGGACTTATATCGGGCCCATTCTACTTTATGTTTTTGTAGATAATCAGGAAGAAAAGAATAGTGCGATGCTAAGGTGATGGGGGAAAACCACAGGAAGATTCCACAACACCAGAGGAGTAAAAAGGATGATGAGCTCTGAGCTGCTGCCTTTATCCTAGAGAACAGATCACCATTCCTGTTCTTCAGGCATCTCAGTACCACTGCAAGCAGTGAGAGATGTAATAATTCCACATGGCCAAGTGCAATCGCTCACACCTATAATTCTGGCACTTGGAGAGACCGAGGCGGGAGGATTCCTTGAGCCCAGGAGTTTGAGACCACCCTAGGTAACATAATGAGGCCTTGTCTATAAAAAATAAAAAATTAGCCAGGCGTGGTGGAGCACACCTGTAGTTCTACCTACTTGGGAGGCTGAGGTGGAAGGATCACCTGAGCCCAGGAGTTCAAGGCTGTGGTGAGCTATGATTGTGCCACTGTACTCCAGCCTGGGCAACAGAGTGAGACCCTGACTAATAATAATAATAATAATAATAATCCCACATATGTGTGCAGTGATGAGCTATGAGCTTCTCCTTTTATCCTGGGAAACAGATTTTGGAGTCACTATAGGTTATGCAAAATGTTAGGCATTATTTGGATAGGAACTAGAAGCAATGAGAATAATTTCCCCCTTATGTAAAAGGATGCTGGGTTCTCACTTGGAATTTGAGATGTCATGCTTTTTGTGGCACCTCAGAAAAGACAAAGCCCAGGTAGGTGTCCTGAGACAGTCCCAGAGAAAGGAGTTACTTCAGTAATTTTTTTTTTTTTTGAGTCAGAGTCTCACTCTGTCACCCAGGTAGGAGTTCAGTGGCATGCTCATAGCCACCATAGCCTCGTCCTACTGGGCTCAGGTAATCCTTCCACCTCAGCCTTTCAAGTAGCTGAGGCACGTACCACCACGCCCAACTAATTTTTTGATTTATTGTAGAGATGAGGTCTCACCAAGTTAGCCCAGGCTGGTCTCAAACCTCTGGGCTCAGGCAATCCTCTCGCCTCCGCCTCCCAAGGTGCTGGGATTACAGGCATGAGCCACTATACCCACCTTCAGTAATTTAAAGAAATGCTGATTAAGCAAAACAACAACGAAAAAAGACAAGTAAAAAAACTAATAATAAAAAAGAAATGCTGAGTAGATGGTGAGATGCAAAAATGGCTGATGTTTACAAGTGCTTACTATGTGCCAGGGGCTGTGCTATAGGTGCTATTTCATATCATTCTTACCACAATCTTCTGAGGTGGAACCTATTATCATACCTGTTTTACAGATGAGGAAAGCAAAGCACAGAGAAGTTAAGTGAGATGTCCAAGGCCATACAGCTGGTAAGTGGGAGAGCCAGGACTCAAACCAGGTTTCTCTGCCTGGAAAGCTTGAATCACTAGGGACTTCATATATGGTATGATATGACCAAAGCCTGTAACTCCTGAAGGGCCTGGAAAGACAGAACACATCTTGGAATAGTCGGCCCTCCACATTCACAGCTTCCACATCCATGGATTCAACCTATCACAGATAGAATATACAGTATTCTTGGGATCTGCAGGGCCAACATGGGACTTGAGCATCCTTGGGTTTTGGTATCTGAGAAGGGTCCTTTAATCAATTCCCAGTGGATACTGAGGGGTGGCCATTGCAATAAGTATAACTCAGAAAACTTGAGAGGAACAATTTCTATTTATGTGAGTGATAATCACATTGTCATGGTTCTATAAGCAAGGTGGGAAAAAGGTTTCCAGTTATCCACATCAGGCACGTGTGTTCTAAGGCTGTAATGTAAGCTGTATGTCTAACTGTGAGTCACAGCTGGGTTGTGTGAAAGTTGGTGCCTTATGGTATTCCTTGCGTCATGATATCAGAAGTGCACTTTACACTCGGGCTTCCAGAGGAGCTGGGACTGCACACAGCATCTAGCTGTTAGCTGGTGTCGGAGCTGGTGTCCCCCTCCTCCATCTGGGCTGGTGGACATCCCCAGCTCTGGATCTCCTCCACTGGAGGGTGGCTGAGGCTGTCACTGCATATCGTACAGCTAAATCAATGCATTTGGTTCCCCAGGTGATGTGCTGGTGGTCCCCATCAAGCTCCACAAGTGTCCTTTCTGCCCTTACACTGCCAAACAGAAGGGCATTCTCAAGAGGCACATCCGCTCACACACAGGCGAGCGGCCCTATCCCTGTGAGACCTGCGGCAAGAGGTTCACGCGGCAGGAGCACCTGCGGAGCCATGCCCTGAGCGTAAGTGTCTGAGCTGGCAGTGCTTTCCCAGCAGGGCTGGCTCATGATAGCATCTCACGTAGGGACAAAGCCAGGCTGCCTTTCACTTTTCTGTCCTCTGGATATTTGCAGAGCATTATGAACATATGTTTATGTTTTCACTATTAAATTAAAGCTGGATTGGTGGCACTTAGAATTAAAACTTACATAGGAATGGACTAGTTTTATAAAGGGAAGTGTCAATAAAGTATATCCTGGTAAGGGATGGTTGCTATAAGGTAGAGAACAGTAATGCCAAAGGTAAACTGCATCCTCAGTTTCCCACTTAAGCCTACACCCAGGGGTGGGGAAAGGGTATACTGCCATTATAGGGCTACCTATGGGCAGCAGTCAAAGAGGACTCCAGCCTAAGGGGATCACCCCTCTAATGGGCTAAATCTAGGGTTCTGTCTCTATATGAGCAGGTGATTTCCACTAGCTAAAAAGCATTCTGGCCATTTAGAAAGATGTTGCATTAGGCCTGACATGGTAGCTCACACCTGTAATCCCCACGCTTTGGGTGACTGAGGCAGGAGGATCATTTGAGGCCAGGAGTTCAAAACTAGCTTGGGCAACATAGCAAGGCCCCATCTCTATTTTATTTTTTAAAAAACGAAAGAAAGATGTTGTGTTTATTATCATCTTTGAGCAAGACAGTCTTTTGAAAAATCCAACATAAAAATAGTTTGGACTTCAAAGGACACTATTAGGAGTGTGAAAACCCATAGAATGGGAGAAAATATTTGCAAGGAATATTATCTGATAAGAATCTAGCTAGTGGCAACCCCTTCACTTCAGTCCCCTCCCACTGTGGGAACTTTTCTGTCCTCTCAATAAATCCTGCTTTCAAAAAAAACAAAACAAACAAACAAAAAGAATCTAACTAGTATCCAACCTGGGCATCATACTGAGACCTTGTCTCTATAAAAAAATCAAAAAATTAGCCAGCCGGGTTTGGTGGCTCAGCCTGTAATCCTGCGCCTTTGGGAGGCTGAGGTGAGTGGATTGCCTGAGCCCGCGGGTTCGAGACCTGCCTGGGCAACTTGGCAAGACCTCATCTTTACAATAAATAAAAAATTAGCCAGGCGTGGTAATGCACGCCTGTAATTCCAGCTACTTGGAAGGCCAAGGCGGAAGGATTGCCGGAGCCCAGCAGGTCGAGGCTGCGGTGGCTGGGAGCGGTCACTGCCCTCCAGTCTGGGCGACAGAGTGAGACTCCAATTCAAAAAAAAAAAAAAAAAAAAAATTAGCCAAATGTGGTGGCATATGCTGTAGTTCCAGCTATTCAGGAGGCTAAGGCAGAAGGATTGCCAAAGTCCAGGAGGTCAAGGCTGCAGTGAACTGAGATTGTGCCACTGTAATTGTACCACTGCATGCCAACCTGGGCGACAGAGTGAGACCCTGACACACACACATACACACAGTCTAATATCCATAATATATACAGAACTCTTACTGTGTAACAATAAAAGGACAAATAACCAATTAAACACTGGCATAGGACTTGATTAGACATTTCTCCAAAAAGATACAAATGACCAATAAGCACATGAAAGATGCTCAATACATTATTACTGTAGTGTAAATGCAAATCAAAACCACAGTAAGATGCCACTTCATACCCACTGGGATTGATAGAATTGTTGGTTGGCCCTTCTGCGTCAGCTTCTCTTTATCTTTGCCTCTGGTGTTTCTCTTGCATCCAAAGCTCTCTAAAAGAGAGGCACTGATTGGTTCACAGAGCTTCTATCAGCTGGAGCTCTTGAAAAGCTCACACATTAGAAAAATAGTTCCTAGGCAGGTATAGTGGCTCATGTCTGTAATCCCAGCCCTTTGGGAGGCTGAGGCAAGAGGGTTGCTTGAGCTCAGGAGTTTGATGCCAATCTGGGCAACATAGTGAGACCTCGTCTCTACAAAAACATCAAAAAATTATCTGGGCGTAGAGGCACATGTTTGTTGTCCTAGCTATTCAGGAACCTGAGGTGGGAGAATCATTTGAACCCAGGAGTTTGAGGCTGCAGCGAGCCATGATCATGTCACTGCACTCCAGTCTGGGTGACAGAATAAGAACCCCAACTCAAAAAAACCAAAAAAGAAAAAAACAGAAAATGCAGAGGGGACCTCTGGGACTATTGCCCTTAGGAGGAGCTGTGTGGAATAGCAGATCAGGTCTTCTTTTCTACCACAAAGCTGTTCTCAAGCAAGCAATGCATTTTTCAATGAGAAAGTCAAAGGTGAAGCATCTGCTGGCACATCTGAGGAATACAGACGTCTACTCTAGCAAACCTGCCTTCCTAACAATTAAACAATCCAAGGTACATAAACCATGTCAAAAATCCTAATCAGAGCTGGGCGTGGTGGTGCAATCCCAGCTATTTGGGAGACCGAGGCTGGCAGATCACTTGAGCCCAGGAGTTTGAGTCTAGCCTGGGCAACATAGTGAGACCCCTGTGTCTAAAAACATAATAATCCTAATCAGTTCCCTCAGTGCCCTTTATATTCTAAGCACTAGGGAAGCAGTAATGAATGAGGCAGACTCTGTCCCTGCCCTCTTGTAGTGTACATTCTGGTGAATTTTGCCAATGACTTGTGAGAAGTGCGACGAAGAAGTGTAGGTGAGGATGGACACTGGAGAGACATAACCTGATCCAGAACATTAGAAAGACTTCTTTCAAAGATGATATTTTGGTTTTTTTGTTTTTGTTTTTGAGTTGGAGTCTCACTCTGTCGCCCAGACTGGAGTGCAGTGGCCACTCCCGATCACCGCAGCCTCGCCTGCTGGGCTCCGGCGATCCTTCCGCCTCAGCCTTCCAAATAGCCAGAATTACAGGCATGCACTACCACGCCCGGCTGATTTTTTGATTTATTGTAGAGATGAGGTGTCACTGCCCAGGCGGTTCTCGAACCCGCGGGCTCAGGCAACCCACTCACCTCAGCCTCCCAAAGGCGCGGGATTATAGGCTGAGCACCGAGCCTGGCTTCAAAGGTGATATTAAGGAGTGAGGAGTTGGCAATGTGGGGAGGGAACGTTCCAGGCATGTCCAATGGCCCTGAGGTATAAAGTACCTCAGTAAGATGGACCGTGGCTGAAAAAAGCAATCAGAAGATTAGCAAGAAACAGGACTGGAGGATCAGGCAGGAACCAGATCACATAGGGCCTTGTAGGTCATGGCTCAACCCTTCCTCTGTGACATTGACTGTGTCTTCTTGTGGTTACAGGTCCACAGATCCAATCGTCCAATCATCTGTAAAGGTTGCAGAAGAACCTTCACGAGTCACCTGTCTCAGGGGCTGCGGCGTTTCGGGCTGTGTGACAGCTGCACCTGCGTGACAGACACACATGATGATGACGATGATTTGATGCCCATCAACCTTAGCCTGGTGGAAGCCTCGTCTGAAAGCCAAGAAAAGAGTGACACAGACAATGACTGGCCAATCTATGTGGAGTCTGGTGAGGAAAACGACCCCGCAGGAGATGATTCTGACGACAAACCACAAATTCGGCCCAGCTTATCAGACCAAGAAACATTTACGTAGCAATGGGGAAAGGGTGGGGAAGAAATTTTAGAATTCGTCAGTGTTCATTCTATGGTTGGAAGACACCATTTGTCCCATTTCATGGAACCCTGAGAGGAACATTTTTTTCACTGTTATTGTATTTGCTTTTTTGTTAGACTATGTGATATAGGCTGGATTTTGTGACTCAAAGGACTCATAACTTTTTAGTTATTGGTTTCTGAGGGCTTTGCTGGCTACTCCTTAATTCCGAATGAATCAAGGTTGTCCCTGGAGCTTCCTGTTTTTCTTGCTATGTGTTCAAACTCTGGTTAGAAAGATAAGAAACTCTCCACACTTGTTTTTATAGTGTCTCAATTCTCTGCATTCCTTTGTTAACAAGTCCCGTTTCTCTTAAAAGGTGGGCAAGGATACATTAAGTTGAGAGATCACTCTTACCTTTGCCAAGCCTTTCCTAATGAATTCCACATTTTAATTTTCTGGCAAAATATTAAAGAGAAAGCTTCATTGATATAAAGCAGACAGAGCTGTCTGGCTACATGATCGTAAATGGTACTCTCTAAATCTAAGACAAATTTAAAGGCTGAGTGTATTTATGTGCAGACAAGCATGGAAATGAACTGAAAGGCTCGTTATGGCACCCTGACTTGCCCAGTTGAATTATATTTTAAGTTAGCCCCAAGAAGGGGGCCTGTGAGCCCAGGTGTGGATGATTTCTCTGTCTGGTTTGGTATTTGATGATTCTACATACACAACCTGTTCTGTGATCATAAAGCAAATCAAACTGTTCCCTTTTTCAAAACCCATGGCTGTGTAACCTGGAAATGTAGCCACCCCTGACATTCTTTTACTTAGTTTATGCCTAGAACTTTAATTGGAAGGAAAGTGTAACCCATACTAACAAGTTATATTTCTAATTCATCTTTTATTTATTTATTTTTTGAGTTGGAGTCTCACTCTGTTGCCCAGACTCCCAGCCACTGCAGCCTCGACCTGCTGGGGATCCAGTGATCCTTCCGCCTTAGCCTTCCAAGTAGCCGGAATTACAGGCGCGCGCTACCACGCCCGGCTGATTTTTTGATTTATTGTAGAGATGAGGTCTCGCCAAGTTGCCCAGGTGGGTCTCGAACCCGCGGGTTCAGGCAATCCACTCACCTCAGCCTCCCAAGGCGTGGGATTACAGGCTGAGCCACCGAGCCCAGCTTAACTCATCTTTTAAAAGATCCTCTTGAGGGAAAGGGAAAGTTAGTAAAAGAACAGGATTTGTAAAGCAGTCTGCTTTTTACCCACTTTGCAGCCAGATAATTATTCTAGCAAAACAGGCTAAACTCTTTAAAGGGCTAAAGGGCAGGAAATATTAGGGATTAGGGAGATAATGAAAGGCACTTTTATAATTTTGTTTTATGTTAAAATATCCAAAATGGATTTTAAAAGAAATCTTCTTGTCTTCCTTTAATTTTAATAAAGTTGTGTTTCAAAAGGTGGCAAAATCACTTATTTTCTGCCTCTTGAACAACAAAAAAAATCAAAATATTATAAATTGGTTTGTAAATGTTAGCTATTGAAGAGTTGGAAAGGTGTTTAAATCATACTTCTCAATAATAGTTAGAACTAGATCTAGATTACTTATGGTACCTAAAAAAAAAAGAAGAAGAAGAATTGAGACAGTGCTACTTAAACTGAGGCCCACAGACAGGTGCTATTCTGTGAATTGTTTTCTACCAGTCTGCGACAAGGACAGTCAGAAATTAAGAGTAAATATATAGAAACTTTTATAACACTTTGCCACTGCTGTGACTAGTGGCCTTGTCTTCTTGAACAGGGTTTGGACAGGTTTAGGTGTGGCCAACTGGATTGCCACATAGTAGAAAGGTTAGATACTTATCTGTACAGTAAGACCACATACTGGAAATTTAAAAACTGTTCTTTGACCACAGCTGGTTTGAAAAACATTGTTCTAGATCAAGAGTTACACATCGAAAATTATCAGGGACTAGACATACTTTTCATATCTGAAGTGAAAATATTAGCTGTTATTTTAAAAGAGGGATCTCAGCAAAAAGAAAACCTAAATGAATGTGTAGATTTACTTTGCAAGGAGCAATCTTTGATATTTCTGCTTTCTCTCTTTAAATTATTTATGATTGCCTGGCGTGGTAGATCACATCTGAAATTCCAGCACTTTGGGAAGGAGAGGCAAGAGAATTGACTGAGTCCAGGGGTTCAGGACCCCTGGGCAATTTGGCGAGACCTCATCTCTATTATAGATCAAAAAATTAGCCAGGCATGGTGGCCCACACCTGCAGTTCCAGCTACTAGGAAGGCTGAGGCGGAAGGAAAAAATTATTTATGATTTTTTTTTTGAGTTGGAGTCTCACTTTGATGCCCAGGCTGTAGTGCAGTAGCACGTTCCCTGCCACTGCAGCCTCGACCTGCTGGACTCCAGCGATCCTTCTGCTTCAGCTTTCCGAGTAGCCAGAGCTACAGGTGCACGCTACCATGCCCTGCTAATTTTTTATTTATTGTAGAGACGAGGTCTTGCCAATTGGCCCAGGCTAGGCTCGAACCCGTGGGCTCAGGCAATCCACTCGCCTCGGTCTCCCAAAGTGCTGGGATTACAGGCTGAGCTACTGAGCCTGGCTGATTTTTTTTTTTAATTAAAAAAAATTTTAAGCCTGGGCAGCGAGACCTCATCTCTACAATAAATCAGAAAATTAGCCGGGCGTGGTAGCATGTGCCTGTAATTCCGGTTACTCAGAAGACTGAGGTGGAAGGATCACCGGAGCCCAGCAGGTCAAGGCTGCGGTGAGCGGGAGCATGCCACTGCACTCCAGTCTGGGCAATAAAGTGAGACTCCAACTCAAAACAAAACAAAACAAACAAAAAAATTTTAAATATAGAGACGAGGTCTTGCTATATTGCCTAGGCTGCTCTCAAACTCCTGGGCTCAAGCAATCCTCTTGCATCGAGCTCCCAAAGTGTTGGATTACAGGTATGAGCCCAGCGCCCGGCCTTTCTGATATTTTTTTTTTTTTTAAATTGGAATCTCACTCCATCGCCCAGGCAGGAGTGCAGTGGCATGCTCATGGCTACCCCAGCATCAACCTGCTGGGCTCAGGCAATCCTTCCACTTCAGCCTTCCGAGTAGCCAGAACTACAGGCGCGCGCTACCATGCCCGGCGAATATTTTTTTGATTTATTGTAGAGATGGGGTCTCGCTAAGTTGCCCAGGCTGTTCTCGAACCCCTGGGCTCTGGCAATCCTCTCACCTCGGCCTCCTAAAGTGCTGGGATTATAGGCTTGAGCCACCGTGTCTGGCCTTCTGATGTTTTTAATAGGACTTTACTACCTCACAGTTTAACTTCTCTGCCTACTTTCTCAGGTGGAGCTGTGATCCTTTTCAGTGATTCTGTGACCTATTTATATCACTGGGTAAAACATTTTACATTAGCAATTGCACTGTAAGATAGTGATTCTCAATTGGGGGTGATTTTGCCCCCTACAGGTTGCCACTGACATCTAGTAGGCAGAGACCAGGGAAGCTGCTAAATGTTCTATAGTGCACAGGACAGCCGTCACAACAGTTATCTAATTCAAAATGTCAATAGTACCAAGGTTGGCAAACCCCACTATAAGATAAAGTCAGATTTTTAAAATGATCTTTAATGACTGATCTTAATTTTGTGTTCTACTTTAAGCTACCTTCTACCTTCATAATATTTAATAGGTTCTTATACTCCCACAAGTTTTGGAAAATAGTGGATTAGGCCAGATGGTTCATAGTTTGCCCAAGCTTTGACTCAGGTTTGTGATGTGGAGACTTAGAAAATTCTGAAGCCGGGCGCGGTGGCTCAGCCTGTAATCCCGCGCTTTGGGAGGCTGAGGTGAGTGAATTGCCTGAGCCCGCGGGTTCGAGACCCGCCTG